GCCGGATCAACCAAGCGTCATGTACGCAAAACCAAAAGACGAGGTCCCTAGCATTGTCAACCGCAGCGCGCACAGAGGGGTTGTTTCTTATGCACGGCTCGCGAGCGGGCCACAATGGGCGACTCTCGTTTATTCGACGTCGATTGCCTTGTAATAAAAGCATTGCAGTTGTGGAATATGACCTAGTCAGGACAGTGGAGTCCATGCTGAGGTGTAAGCGGCATTCATCTCGAGTTTTTCCTTCTCAACAACGAGCATGATGCGTATGGTCGTGGCCACTGTGCTTGATAAGTCCCAACATTTCTTGTAGATTTTTTGAGAATATTTGGGGTGATTTGTGGACGAGGGGCATAGCCGCAGCATAGCTTTGCGCTTGGATGGCACGAGAGCCGACCTTGATCTGCAGCCACGACCGCCAGTGAATGAGTACGTCCAGTCTTTTTCCACCAGTTAGACCCCTTTCTCCTATTCCTGAACTCTTACTTGATGTCTATCTCTGCGGTGAACACCCGCCATCGATGTCGCGAGCTATGTTTAGAAATCCGTCGACGTCGTTTTCGTCAGCGAGATGCTGCCCAAGGCAGTCACCCAGCCACTTCCCCATTGCAGACGATGAAGTTGTTGGAGATAAAGAGAGTTTCTCGTCTCTTCATATCCCCTATTCATGATACCATATCCACGAGGTTTTGCTCTGCCTGCTCAGACCCTCTCCCTTACGTATAGTCTAGGGCGGTTTGCTCACCACCCCGTTCTTAGGCAAACCTTTCGGAACCTCGAATTTTACAACCACTTTGGATGTAAATGCGGGTCTACAACCAAACACCCAAAATGCCCCTACCCCAAGCACCCTCAATGATGAGACCCCCGACGAGCCACCTTGTAGTGGGAAACAAGCTAGTCAGCCCTCGATAGCAGTCACTCCCCAGCTCAGCCCTCCCATAAACACCCGCAAAGACGACGCTGTCGCGGATAGCGAAGCATCGTCCTACTCTCAAGAAAAGCCCAGGGAACTTGGGGGTTCTCCTACGGACACATCGAAGAAATTGCGCTTCAAGGTACCCCTTGCCCTGCCCCGGCTGTCTAAGAAATCCCGGCTGAGGGCACTCTTTACGCCCACAAAACCCGTCGGGCCTGCACCAAACTATGCACGGTCCTTCATCAATATATTTAAATTCTCGCCTCTCAACATTTTGCTCGCGTTCATTCCAGTATCGTGGGCACTGCACTTCACCCATCAATCGGACACGCTTATTTTTGCCACATCGGCCCTTTCTGTCTTACCTCTGGCAGCCCTTTTGGGCTTCGGCACGGAACAGGTGGCTATTCGTACTAGTTCTGCCGTCGCGGGCCTTCTCAATGCCTCCCTTGGAAATCTCACGGAACTCATCATTGCCGGCATCTGTCTTACTCGATGCCAGCTTGGGCTTGTGCAGAGCTCTCTTCTTGGTGGTCTATTGAGTAATCTACTTCTGGTCCTCGGTATGGCTTTTGTCGTCGGCGGTTTCAAGTACCCTCAACTCAGCTTCCGACCTGCCGCTGCCCAGTTGAATGCCTCGTTGCTCACGGTAGGAGTCATATCCATGCTGGTCCCGACCGCCTTTGTAAGTGTATTCATCGCATGTATCCACTTTGAACGTTCAAACGATCTGATTGCTTCGATAGCATACCTTTCTGGGAAACTATTTTCCCGATACGACAGTCGAGGGACCCATACTTTTGCAAATGAGCCATGGATTTTCCGTCATCTTGATGTTCATGTGGGTACATTCCCCCTGGGATTTAGATAACCACCTTATATGCTGTCCTTGACCCTTAGATACTGCTGCTATCTTGGATTCCAATTCTATACGCACAGTCACCTCTTCCTCGACATGGATTCGGACTCGGATTCGGACTCGCAGCATGGGACGTGGGGAGGATCCAGCTCGTCTTCCGACAGTGGGTCTTCTTCGTCGGCTTCAAGTTTCATCACATCGCCATCTCGCCGTTCATCTACGGCTCGTACAAATGCAACTGCTGTATCTGAGCTAGCGCCCAAGCCCCGGATGGCACTGATCGACGAAGAAGCTGCCGTGATGCCCATTCATCCTCTTGCTGCCATTAGTTCCATCGGCACTATAACGACCGATACGTCCACAGAGACAATACACTATCCCTTGGTCAACATGCCCTCGGCTCTTATATTGCTAGCAGCAATCACGGCAACCATGTATTTGACGGCAGAGAACCTGGTGGACTCTCTCACCGGCCTCACAGATAAGAATCCAAACGGGATATCCAAAGAATTTTTGTCCCTTATTGTCTTGCCTGTCTTATCCAATGGAGCGGAGCTCTCTACCGCCATCTATGCAGGTTATAAAGGCAAATTTGACCTGGTCCTTGGTGTCGCTGTTGGAAGTTGCATCCAAATAACCCTTTTTGTGATCCCGATGCTAGTCTGCGTTGCCTGGGGGATGGGAAAACCATTGAGTTTATTATTCGACCCTTTGGAAACGACCGTGAGTTATCACGAAATTGTGCAGGTAACATCGATTGACATTCCTTTCAAGTGTCTATTTTTAACTGTATTATTAGTCAAATTTGTCATCGAAGATGGTCGTACTCACTGGCTCAACGGATTTACCCTCGTTTGTTCGTTCCTTTCTTTGAGAATGACATTCGAGTGCTTAACTCTCCTAGGTGTATATGCAATGATCGCATCAACATTCTGGCATTTCCCAACTAGGTACGTATACACACCATTCGAATCAGATGGGCACTAATATGCAACTTAAGCCTCATGGGTCTACTGGGCGGAAACCAAACTCTCTTTGTTCGTACTTTTCTCTCCTAATATTTGCAATTACTAACAGAGATCTAGGTGTGCCCTTCTTGAGAATCCTTTCATAATAAAGATTGTGGTTCACAGTGAATCTTGGTCACACAAGGAGGAAGGGAAAGGAAAAATTGAATTGCATCAATGGAAAGATCACCTGTGACATACGTGGTGTATATACGACTCTTTCTGTCTACATAGGAAATTGAACAATAAATTAGAATTGAAACGAACCATATCAAACATCCACGCCTAGTGCGGCATGCCATCGTTGCCCAGTCTCGACCAAAACCCTCTTGATTTCCTGTTTCTCCGCTGTAATTATCACCTTGCGGTCAACAGCTGCCTTTCGACTCGCCAGAGCGCCCGATTCGATCGATAAAAGCCCTGATTGAACCAGAGTGTCAAGGACGCTCAGAAGTTCTTCGTCACTGGGTGTTCGCTGCGGGGTATCTTCCTCGACGTTAAGTTGGTGTAAAATGCCCAAGTGTCGATTGCGGAGCTGGAACAGTACTTAGATCACGCTCGGTTGGACCAGAAAACAATACATACTTTGCCCCATGTAAACTCCTCTACTCCTGTCCACCTAACCTCCATCAATGCTGCTGCGAGCATGACTTTCTCATGAAAACTACATTGCGCCACATAACCTGCAGTTGGGGTGTTTTGCATTAGTGATATGACTTGCACCACATCGGCGACCGTCGCTTCGCGGGATTTGCCGCGGACCCTTTCAATCGTCCGCCTAGGTTATTGTAAGCACTGATCAGAAGGTTTATTCGACCGCCATACCTACATATATCCAGAACTCGTCGTGCATCTCCGCTCACCCCGCCGACCCGAGCTGCTGCATATAAAATAGCATCAGGTTTCATGACTGTCCGTAGATTAGAAGCACCCTCTTGTGCACGTTTTAGTCTTGAATTGACGATCTCCGCAAGTTGAGCTTTGGTGTATGGAGCAAAGTTGATCCTGACCATTCCTAGAGTACTCATGAGCGGGGTATTAGAAGGGCTCGTAGAAAATTCACTGACCAAGACGACTGCGAACTTTGGCACTCAACGCCCGTTCCGGGAGATCATGGGTATTGGCAACCGCCAATACGATCAACTTGGAACCGGTCAGGTTTGGCCAGTTGAAGAAATTATACACAACATCCTGCTTAGTAGTGACCAGTTGATCCAACTCGTCCATAAGGACAATGCTAAAGGAATCTGAGCAAGGTTCATTTTAGAATTGACTCGGACACACCATGCTGGCCCCGAATTTTCCGAGCTGCCCACTCCAAAATGTAATGTGAGTCGCTTCAAGGCCTCTTTAGGGCTAATCTTTAGATGCCCATGTGTAGATGCATCATGTCCTACGATAGCTTCCCAAAGTAGCGGGTAAGCAGCATTTGGTTCAGGTACTCTCAGGCCATTTATCTCGACAAATGTGAAAGGATTGCATTCCTGCATGACCAAGATGAGGATATATAGCACGAAGTGTATTATGAGTGACTTGCATTATTTTCAGCCATGATCTTGAGTTCTCGAATGATTGTATGAACGGTTGCAGTTTTCCCCGTCCCAGGAACCCCAGAAATATCTAAAATTTGTCTATTAGCCCGTGACCTTTCTGATACGACAAATGTGAATTACTCACAAATACATCCACCTGAAACCTCCTGAAGTAAACTCATGATATTTTCAAATATGTTAACATATTCATCGTCTCGACAAGGAAGGCTGTCTGGCCTCTCACCGACATGTAATGTGTACATGGCGCGTAGAAAGGGATCATCTTCCATGGAGAACAGTGCTGAATTATCTTGGACCTGAATAGTTGGTGGGCGAATCTTGTACTTTTTACGAGATTTTAAAGCCTTTTTGGAGTGTGGAGTAGGTTGTGTTATACCTTTTCTTCTCTTTGCGGGGGTGCGATTCTTTGTTTCTAGTTTCCTTTTCTTGCGGGAGGCGGGAGGGTGATCGTTTCCTTCAGAATCTCCTGAAGCGGGTTTCTCCTCGACCAACTCGTTGTCTTCTTCAGAGAGTTCTTCCATTTCCTCGTCTCCACTCCCATCACCATCGTCATTTTCCATGTGGTCATTCTCAGAGGTGTCATCCGAATCGCTGCTGATTGATACTGCCTTTCCACCAGTGGTTCTACCGATCGACATGTTCCACAGACTCACTTTGTCGGTTTGGACGGTAGTTGTTCGGTCTGCGAGAAAGTTCTCCCAGTTGATAGGATAATAGATACCCGTGATGGGATCATAGGCTGCATCGATTACATATTCCCACTGCCGCGACTGAGAGCTCTTCTTATCTTTTTCCGAGGCTGTGGAGGTGGACTTTTGCACAACCTGACAGGGTAGGAGTATTGAAGAGACATCCGTCAAAAGGGAGTCCTTAACGAGATAGTATACTTCATTCTATCATCAATGAGTGAGGATATAGGTTCTCGGAACTAAAAAACCACGCTTACAGGCTCATGTGCACGGAATGTTCGGTTGACCTTTGTCGTACCAGCCAGCTCAAAGCGATGGACCAGTGCCTTCAGTGGTGAATGCCATTGTAAATTGGAAGGCTTTTGATGAGACGAGTCCTTTAAAGAAGTTTTATGGAACGATATTATGACTGCAACGATCGGCACTTGAGTCGATGATTTTACAACAACAGTATCGCCGATTTTAAAGACATGAGTTGAAGAACCAGATCGTTTATATTGACGAACGAGCTTGTTAAAAGGGGTTGTTTCAAAGTCTGTCACTTCCAGGTCCTGTTCCTCTTGGAATTGAACGCGTTCAACGGGGAGAAAGTCAGATGGGACAGACAGTCGAGTTTCTTGGGTCTCAGAGGCGACATGAGTGGCATTTGCTGCAATTTTCGCATCAATCTCAGTCGTCTGCTGACTGCGAGTTAGCCGCATCGAGATGGTAATTGTCAAAGGCTTAAATTCCATCCGCCAACCTGATGGCGTTGAACCACTTTCTCGTCTCGTTCTAGGTTATACAATGTCTTTCGATAAAGTTAGAAATCACATCTCCCATTTTGTCTGTCCATACGTGACCAGCTTCATCGTCTATAAACATCTCTTTGACCCCGTGCTCGCCTACTTGAAGGCTCTCGTAGAATTTGGCACTGAATTGCCACGGAACAAGCCTGTCTTTTCCACCTGCGATAGCTAAGATCTTCTTACCCAGGTAAGGGTTTGTTTCATCGTGGTTGGACACTGGAGCCGAACATGGATCATTCTCCTTGACATAGGCGACGAAATTGGGAGGGAAGTAAGCTGTAGCTGTAGTATCAAAGCCTTTACGAGTGGCTCTATCAAACATTAAGTTGAGGTAGTCCGGGCATCCTAGAGGGAGAGAGAGTCATGCCCTGAAGACGATCGAGGAAATAAATTACGCCTTACCAACGATAGGAACGCCAATTTTTAGCCGGGTATCTGATTTGTATTGGAATTATGAGCCATTTCATGTCGTAATGGGCTATAGATGTACATTTCTTACCATTCTTGAGTGCTATCCACGTTGAGTGTCCGCCTAGACTAAATCCTGCAAGTGCCCATTGTTCGATTTCCCTTTCTTGTTCAGGAAAGAGATAGCTCGGAAGAAAGTCTATCAGGTTACTGACATCTTGAGCCGTTCCAACTGTGCATAGGTTAGAGGCGGGAAAGTAGATGAAGGAATTCCTTACGAACCCTGCATCGCATACATATCAAGACTATATGAAAGTGTTATTGTTTCTAGAAGAAATACGATGAGAATGACAAACGCATGACGAATATTGTGTTTGTTAGGGTCCTTTACACTCCAACCTTCATTCGCTTTGACATCTACCAACCGGGAGCCATGATTTCGGTGGTCCTGGATCGCCATTCAGGGGAACCGTATCGCAAAATAAATATTACCGGGGCTCACGAGGGTCACCACATAGAGCTCTCGCTTCCAGTGGCTATCGGAAGGTGATGAGGACTGAACCTCTAACATGCGCTTTACAATATGTTCTACACCCCGACGAGTGTTGGATCTCCCGTGGAGGATGAACAAAACGCTGATTGGCAGCTGGTTAAGAGTGGGTATTGGTGGATTGGTCCACACATCGACTTCGATACCAGCTATTGACGTTTCACAAATGCAGTTTTGTTCATTAACATGGATGACGATAAATGTCGATATTTCGGATTACCTATGAGGAGCGTTTGACAGTTCATCGGCAATCGTAGAGCGAGTTCACAAGCAGACTGAATTGATTGGATAGAAGTGACATTTTTATTCTTCGAATTTGTCCCTTTTCAATATGGAACTTTACAAAAAAAGAAGAAAACAGCGTTAAACACAGGATTCGCCGATGGAAAAGGGAGAAAAAACAGTAGTAGTAGTAGATAGAAGCAATGATGTTTCACATTCACGGGGGCGCCGGTCAGCAGTCGCCGCGCCTCCGGAGAGGACAGGTCGGACCAAGCGGCGGAACTGCGTGTGAGAGAAATAGAATCGATCAGCCAATCTGCAGAGAAGACATGATAGAAGGGGGAATACATACGGATTGGGAAACAAGTTTAGAGTGCACATGCAAAGTCGTGAGTCGGGGAGAAAGGCGTTCTGGAAGAAGAAGAGCAAGAAGACGTTGTCGAGAGGATGGAGAGATCGATGGACATGGGCCTTGATGAATCAAGGGTTCGCAAGTGCCGGGGAGCATGAGCGTTTGTAATGTTGTTGGCTTTGGGAAAGTCGTTCCAATCTGCAAACGTGTTGAGAGACCTCGTCCTGGCGTGTCCTCGATGAGATGACGATCTGGAGACCGGCATGGCTGGGCCGACGAGTGGGGAAGAGCTTTTGGTCCAGTTGAAGGCCTTGCGGGTCGAAACTCGATCAGCGGCAGGCGACATCATAGTTTGCGCTGATTCTGCACAGTTGAGACGATAGCTACCGAGCCTTAGTCCTCGTTGGACGAGCGTACGGCGTGAGGGACAATCGGCAGGCCTCGGTGGGACGACAAGGCGAGTTGATGTTATTGTTGTTGTGGTTGGTGAAGACAGAAATAGGTCGTTGCAAGCAGCCGGCACATCTGCAGTGAAGAATAAGACGCTGTCTGGTGCTGGAGTGACGCTGATTGCAGGAATGAGAAGTCCCATGGGCCTGTTGATAATATGTTGTGCTGTGAAAGGAGCGTGGGTTTGCGAGCGAGCGGTGTCGTGTTATCTGCGAGATATATATACACGTATATATCGTCCGGTACAATCCAGAATAACTGTGGTCGTTAAACTGGAACAAGGATCAACTTGCAGACTGCAAGGATGGGCGAGGAGGGAGGCCCAACAATGGGGAGAGGGAGGAGGGGGAGAGTAAGCTGCTAGGGGCGTTTGGCTTGACTTAGTCGTATGGGTACGCGACTCGACGTAGCGCCCGCGTCGGGTGTGCCTGGGAGCCGAGGGTTGGACATCTACCATCACACCAATTTCTATCATTCTGACAAGAATAAGATGCAGCGGCCCTTGCAACAGCGGACGAGAGACAATTTCCAGACAGATGCATTGCGACCCGCCGCACTTCCATCAGCTACGCTACTGCGTCCCAGGGCAGCCGAGGAGTCGACAATAGAGCAGACGTCAGAGGAGTATCTCGAGACCATGTACGAGGAGTGGAACAAAAAGGTCGACGTCGAGCTAGAGACCCTGGTGGATGGCATGGCAGAGCTCGTCAACATCGCTTCTGTACGTATATATATATATATACTGTAGTCCCATATCGTTCCTACTCATGGAAATAGATCGGCAACAAGGACAAGTTTCGTATCGCGCAGGAAGCCTTTGAGACCCAGTGTCGAACGGAGTCCATGGTACAACCAATTCATTCCGATCAGCCTTTGTCTTGACAAGCACCTTCTTTTGTAGGTCCGAGCGGCGACGAGTCTGCTTTCGATAACACACTCCCTCAAGCTCTTGTTATTGTTGTCGGACGAGGAAGAGATCGCCAAGAGGCGCGACCTCGCTGCAGAGGGCTTTAAGCAGAGGGCCGAAACCTCTATGCAGGATGCAGCAGAGGCACTGGATATTCTACTGAACGGATCATCCAAAGCTAACGCGACTGATATGGAGACGGAAGCGTAGGGGAGTGTTGTGTCAATGGTGTGGCCCATCGCCGATTAGATCTGTAGGTATAAGTGAAATGCAAAATTTGTTGACATTTACCCATACTAGAACAGGGTTTTCACTGACATTCCAGCTCACAAGTGGACGGAGGCCACGCCTCCTTCCTCTTGTTCCACTTTCTTCCCTTCAACCCTCCTCGTTACTCAAGACACGGCCCTTGTGGGACTATGCTCTTGGGAACCCCAAAACTAGCTTGGGTTGGGGAACTTTATCGGCTCTCCTCTTGTGACAAACACATGCCAAGCATCCCCTAACCATGAATTAGCTTCGCGAGACAAGTGTCGAGTGACCAAGGAATCCTCACTGCATCGTACCCAAGACTGAACCAAGCATCCAAGAGGTTGCCGCTCAACGGCAGGTCAACCCTGAGCCAACCCACCGGTATGCGGCCGGGTAGTCATCTCTGATCACACATACCGATAAACGAGAAAGAGAGAGAACAATGATGATGCTCCATGCAAATTTTTTTTCTGCTCGTATATCGGACATGATGGAGCTGTCCGGGGTGCCATCCGCATTCACTATGCCACACTGTATATCTAATCTACGATAAATTATCCTTGTCCTCTATTTTAGCCTATCCAGCTGAGATAACACATGCCAGCGAGATGGCTCATACGTGATCCCGACGTGCCAGCGCAAGGCTAAATGATTAAACGGACTGCAGCAGAACGCGCGTATAAACATGATACAGATATGCCGAGTTTTGCAACAGGAGTGGGGAGAATATTCGACGGGGACGTATTACATAAGCTGGCTGGACTGCTCGCTGGGTGGCTGGGCCATCCATAGACACGATCTAGACTTGCGTCGGTTTCACTGACAAGCGATTTAGTACGGATCCATAAATGAGCTCTTCCCAAAACCGGGCTGCATAAATTCAGTAAAATAAAAGCAGCTTTTTCGTCCCTTTCTGTCGACAAAAAACCCTCGAGCCATATATCCACCCAGGCCGGCTTCATCTTCTCCTCCAACCACACTTTAGTCATGAGCAGGAACAATCCAGTTTTACGTCCTCGCTATACACCCTCTACCTCATCTCAGCTTCAAGACACCGCAGAACAATCTCTCTCAATGCAGGCTCCAGTCGATCCCGACGAGAGCATGCCTGCTGCCTCAGATTTTGTGCGCAAACTGTTCAGGTGAGCACTTTGCCCCCCCTCATATCCAGTCCTTGTCCGTGCGCTATCATGGATGTTACTTACTCTGGACGACAGGATGCTAGAGGATCCTGCCTACTCCTCCATCGTATGCTGGGGTTCCCAACGCGATTGCTTTATCGTCAAAGACATGACAGAGTTCACAAAAGTCATCCTTCCTCGTCTCTTCAAACATTCCAATTTTGCTAGTTTTGTTCGCCAACTTAATAAATATGATTTCCACAAGGTGCGTGAATCTCGCAATACATCACAACGACCCAACGCACACCCACCCCGGCCCACGTCCGCTCCTCTACCCCTTCTCTATCAACTATCGTGCGCTTTTCTAATTCCTTTATGATCTATAAAAGGTCAAAAACACCGACGAGAATGCCTACGGAGAGCACTGTTGGACATTTCGTCACCCCAAGTTTCGGGCTGATCAGCTCGAAGGACTCGAGGACATCAAGCGCAAGTCTGCCCCAACGAGGAGGGGTAGCACTCGTCCCAATCAACCTGCACGATCCAAGTCCCCGTCCGACTCCCAATTGCACCACGACATGGGCGAGTCCCCTCTCGTATCGAGCCTGCAGGAGCAGATCGACCAGCTCTTGCAAAGCCAACGAGATATGAAGAACCACATATTCACCCTGG